AAATACTTATAAACGATAATATATATATATATATATATATATATATATATATATATATATATATATATATATATATATATATAATATGTTTACTTTGTGTTTGTGTAAGACCATATGGGGTGCAAAAGAAATTTTCTGATTCTGTTGTTAGCCAAACGTAGTAACCGATATGTGTAATAAGCTTGTAACAAATTAAGTCAAAGTCAATCAACCTTCGATTATTAATTAGTTTGTGAGAGTAGTCACATGTTCTATTTTAAGCCACTTACAATTTTTAATCATGTAATTTTGTTTTGGGTTGGAAATGAATGGTTTCAAAAATGAAAAAAAAAGCATCATAATACAAGCTTACATGCACATGGTTTTCAGTTCTTACGGTTGTAAAACCGCACCAATAAACATAAAAAACTGCACCAAAGTCTAGACACGGTTTAAAACCGAAACCGCACTGATACAAACCGAAACCGTATTTAAAAACCGTAAAAACGAACCATTGCAAAACCGCACTCAACAGTTTTAAGAATTCAAAAACCGCACCATGCGGTTTGCGGTTCGGTTTGGCCTTAAAACCGCACCAAACCGCACCATGCTCATCCCTAGTTTTTTCGTGTGAACCTTGTTTTTTTCAAAATTGTAAGTGTCAATATTTTCTCATTATTATGTGCTATATATATATATATATATATATATATATATATATATATATATATATATATATATATATATATATATATGTTTTTGTAAATAGTAAAAAATGTATATACATGCATTTAATTCATGTAATCACTAATGTAAATTTTTGTACATAATTATAAATGAATTTTTTTGAAAACCATTATATTATTAATTAATTAAGTAAAATACTATCGTTTTATTTTATATTCATAGAAAAGCCATTCATATTTTTTTAGAAATGTCTTCCGTATTTACAAACTAGGTTATAACCCTTGGGCACCACAGATGAGTAATTTAAAAACATTTTTAATTAAATTATAACTTAATTATTTAGCCTTGATAATAAAAACTTTAATAAATAATAAATATATATGTTTTGTCAGTAATATCCAATGACATAATTATTGGCTGAAATTAGAAAATGATATTGGTTTGAATATCCAATTGGCATTTTGTATATGTAGATATGTTAGAAAATTATAATTTTGTAAAATGCAATATAAATATAAATAAAAATAGAAACTGAAATCTATATAAATAATAAAAGTATACAAAGGTTTTATAAATTTCTAAAAATTTGTTTATACACAACATTGAATGTTTTATTTGATAGTCTACCATCCTTATCCAAACACATATCAACAAACACAAGTCAAAGCTTTGTTGCTTATCCGGTTATCCCTTTAGAGTGTTGATGACAATTTTGACAATTTCACCCTGTCTGGCTGTCCAACATAATATATTAAAGAGAACATGAATCATGCACAAAAAAAGAAACAAATATAAACTTTCAAGCATACAATTTTGTTTTCAACAAACATTTACTTATGCATTTTCAAAAACATGCTATGTACATAGAGTTTATTTTGTTAGCCACTTGGAAATCACCAAACTTAATTACTTGCTCTGTTATCTCCAACATCATATATATCAGCCACCTTTACTTGATTATCCTTGACATGGTGTATGTTTTCTAACTAACCAGTCCATATGCAAAAGTTGTTGCTGAAAAGGAAAAAATTCATTAGTTATTTAATTTACTTTGTGATAGTAATATGTGTGATGGCATAATAGATTTGTCATATAAAAGATGGTCTAATATAAAATCAGCCAGAAAGTAAGCAATTTAGTATACTTGTCAGTGACAAAATGAAGTGATCTTACAGGAATGTAAGATGGTAAAATGCCATCTTTCAAAAGTCTTTGATATTTATGTAATCTTTGGTGGTGGGGCTTAAAGCCTTTGAGTTTGGATCTTTTTCCCATATTATTTAACACCTGAATAAAACATATTCACTTAGACTTTTAATGTTTCTTTTTGTTTTTTTTTTTAAATTACTTTCCATTTTCATTTATACACCATATTAGATGTTTTATTTGTTAGTCCCCCATCCTTATCTAAATTTAACAATTTTAATCATTCTCTACTTTGAACTCTAGATAAAGTACCATACAATTGGTCATGTGTAAAAACACGATCCTTGAGAAACAAACCAACATTCAATAAAGACTGTCCTTGGCTCTTATTAAAACTCATTGCAAAACATACAACCAATGAAAATTGTCTTTTTTGGAATTTGAACGGGATCTTGTTTTTAGAAGGAATTAAAGGCATATGTAGTGTTATTTGAACCTGTAAAATAGTAGTAAACAATTTAAGGATATTTTTTGATATAAAGTTAAGGATTTAATATGTTAAAAAAAGTTTTTAAAGATATGAGAGATGGACATGGAAGGAAGTAAGAAAATTTTTAAAGATCTGATTATATAAGGGACTGTCCAAGGGACTGCACCTCCACAGATGCTATCAAAAATGAATTTTTCTCACTCTCCACTACTACTTTGGAGTAGCCTAATCTGTAACAAAGCATCAGAACAAAAAGGGGAGCTCTGGCTTCTGCAAATGTGTTGGTACCTGGGCCATAAAAGGTAGAAAAAGCAACCAAAGCGGAGCCCTTATAGTCCCTAATAATGCCACCACCTGCTCCCCCGCTTTCAGTTAAGGCCAGAAAAAATTATCTTACCTTTATCTTCTGTCAGTCTTTGAAGTTTCCTTTCTTTGAAAACCAAGGATGAAGCTAGAATGTGGAGTACGTACTTATCATGCTTCCTAATTCCACTAGCATAAAAGAGTTTATTCAACTCCTGAGAGATTCTAGAGTTCCTCAGCTACCCCAATTTGATGAGAATGAGGGAAGAAGTCCTTAGCTATTCCTTTGGCCTATAATAAGAAAGGTCCATCAAGACTCAGAAATTACCCTCGATCTTTTCAATCCCTTTAGTAGAGAATTCTTAGCCTTCGTCTTAGAAACTAAGCTCTTACAAAGCAAGTCATTAATTATTGTTTACACACACTTTCTATTTGACTTAGCCTACTTCTTTCTCATTAGATCAATTAGGCAGGGGAAGACTCTGTGTACTAACTTTATCTTCTTTCTTCTTCTTTGAAATCCCTTGCCACTTCCCTTCTTTGCTAGCACGTACCTGTCTTTGCTTTGCACAAGAGATCCCCCTACTCTTCACACCCCTCTAGTCCTGATCTTGCTTATGCATTACTTGGGAAGGATTGCCCTCTCCCTTTGTTGGGGGCTTTGGCTACCCTACCTCATTCCCTTCACAAGCCAAGGACAAGATGAATCTATTGCCCTGCCTCCAAGAGAAGAAATGACACCAATCGATTCAATAGAAGGCATTAAGCAGACAGAGCACGCACCCACGAAGGAGTGCCAGTGATATACTGGAGGAAGGTAGGGATGACATCAAGTCCGCATGGACTTTATGGGCTGGGCCACACACGTGCTACAATGGCAATTACAATGGGAAGAAAGGCTGTAAGGCGGAGCGAATCCGGAAAGATTTCCTCAGTTCGGATTGTTCTCTGCAACTCGGGAACATGAAGTTGGAATCGCTAGTAATCGCGGATCAGCATGCCGCGGTGAATATGTACCCGAGCCTTGTACACACCGCCCGTCACACCCTGGGAATAGGTTTCGCCCGAAGCATCGGGCCAATGATCACCCATGACTTCTGTGTACCACTAGTGCCACAAAGGATTTTGGTGGTCTTATTGGCGCATACCATGGTGGGGTCTTCGACTGAGGTGAAGTCGTAACAAGGTAGCCGTAAGGGAACCTGTGGCTGGATTGAATCCTTCGAGATAGAAATTCCCTTCAAGGTACTTGCTTCCACTGGTGGCGGGTCATAGGTGCGTCCACAGAAGAGGAAATCGCAATGCATCTTGCTCAGCAGGCGTAGCTTGGAGTGAGAGTGTAGCGGGGTTAAGGTAAGGAGGCCGCCAGAGAGGAAGGCAAACTGGCCTATTAAGCGCAGCTAAGCTAATATGTGTCGGAGAAAGCCAGGTGCCGTAGGTAAGCTCTATTTAGCCCGGAGCATTGATTCCCCATAACGAATAGGCTAGCTCTATCTCTCAATTATCTATCCTGTGATCGAGAAGGTCCCTCAGTTCCTCGGCAGCACCTCGAGGTGCATTTAGTTGTCTTACATGGGACTCGGGATATTACCCACTCCATGGCATGACACCTTTCGCTCATCCATTCCGCCCGCCCAGACACGACGCCTTTTCTCATTATCATCTACCTCCCTTTCTTTCCTCCCCGCTATTCACGCATGAAGATCGTCGTATGTATGCTCTACTTCGGGTGTCGGTGCTATAGTATAGGTAGGATTACCTTATGACAGGATCAGTCACCCGGGCAAACCAACCCTCCTCCAAGAAGAATTGTGCTATGCTCCCCGATCCCTAGAGAGCGAAAGAGCTGCCTAGTGATCCCTAGGTTACAGCACGTTCGGTTGTGAACTCCTCGCGCCGCTGCCGCCGTTTCTAGGACCGACCGACGCCTCACCTGCACAGGTGCCTACCTAGTGTCGGTCACACATTCAACATAGCGTTCGAACTCATGTGCCTTTCAGAACCAGGGGTCTTCGAGCCTGCTACGTACGATTAGCCAGCCTTGCGGCGGCAAAAGGATTCTAAGCCCCCCATGCTACGGTTCCCCGCGGTCCAAACCCGGTGCCGTATTAGGTTAGGGAACTGGGCGATAATACTCTTCAGCCCGAGGACAATCTCTCAAATACACATTAAGATGTTGACCCTTTTTCTTTTCTTTGCTGATTCCTCTCAATGAAATTTTCCAGGTTGCACTAAGTTACTTACGGATGTATGCATGCAGTCCGGGAACACTTTGGGGTAAACACCCATCCAAACAACTCCAACAAGAAAAGGTATAAATATGAAAACTTCTCTACCATTTAGATCGGAGAATTTATGGAGGAAATCCGGTTTTAAATTCCCAGAAACCACATGATTATATAGCCAAAGGGAATACGTCGCGCCTAAAATCATCCCAAGCGCTGCTAATGTGGCTACTAAAACTATATCTTTGGAAAGCTCCTACTAAGATGAGAAATTCCCTGATAAATCTGCTAGTACCAGGTAAACTCATATTGGCCAAAGTGGAAAAGAAGAAAATGGTAGAGAAATTCGGCATGGTGCTCACTAAACCTCCGTAATATCTAACAAGTCGAGTCTTATGTCGGTCATATAGAACACCAACACATAGAAAAAGGGCTGAAGAAACCAGTACATGACTTAACATCAGTAGAATGCTACCTCCAATTCCCTGTATGTTCAGACTAAACATACCAATAGTCACCAGATTCATATGAGCTACTGAGGAGTAAGCAATGATCTTCTTAAGATCGATCTGTCTTAAAGTGGTCAAGGAAGTATATATTATAGCAATCGCGCTTAAAGTATAAATGAAAGGAGTGAAACAAAGTGTCGCTTTAGGAAACATGGGTATTGAAAATCTTAAAAATCCGTAGGTTCCCAATTTTAAAAGAATTCCCGCCAAGATGACGAATCCTGCCGTAGGTGCCTCTACATGAGCTTCGGGTAACCAAATATGAACTGGTACCATAGGCACTTTGACGGAGAAAGAGGAGAAAAAAAGCAATCCATAGAAAGATTTGGCGCCGCTCACTAAATTCTATGGTTAATAAAATTTGTAAATCGGTGGTTTCTGTTTGGAAAAGAATCAACAGAATAGCTAATAGCATAAAAACAGATCCAAGTAAAGTATAAAGGAAAAGCTGATATGCAGCCTTGACCTTTCTTTGTCTCGAACCCCATACCCCTATAATAATGGTAGAGTAAGGGGTGGCCCCAAAGCGGAATTGACCGGTGGTGATTGGTCGAAGCTCCAGTAGGTAGCGACTCCCTTCTCGGGGAACCGTACGTGAGACTTCCGCATCATACGGCTCCGTCCCGAGCTTCCGTCGTCGGCCTTGTCATTAGACCACTATCTATGCATGTATTTTCAGCCTGGACTCTAGAATCTTTTGCTTCTCGGGTGATGGCGAACAATGCTGCTTGCGTTGCGGGGGATGCCCGCCCGTAGGGCCCGGCCTGCTTCCCGCCCGAAAGAACCACTCACTAGCTAGCCAGAATAGTGGGGGGCCTATCTGGAGACATACTGAAAACCATGCCTTTCGAACCAAACGCAACGCCCGTCTTCCAAATCAAAAGAAAAAAGGGGGAAGAAAGAAGGAGTGCAGCCTGTAGAGCACATGTAACGCACAGTCGGGTTGCTCACGCAACGAATCTCTCTCTTTTTAGATATCTATAGATAAAGAGAGAGATGTGTGAAAGTAATAGCTTTATGTTATGGCCGCCCCTCGGCTTACGACCGTTACGCTACTACTACTGTGATGTGAGCGGTTCAAATTGGTTTGATCTTTCCCGATCATCCTGGCCGGAACTTATACGCAACACTTGTATGGAGGTGCATGCATAAAGGTTTGGAAATTTTTTATTATCTGAATCTTAAGAACTGGACCCTACCCTATTCTCGAACCCTCTGCCGAGCTCCACCCTGCCCGCATTTCTTTCTTTTTTTTTCTTTTTTGAAGGGGCAAAAGAAATGTCTCCACCTCCTGCCAACAGTCTTTCTTCGGAATTCTACTGAACGGGTCGATCCTCCCCCCCCCCTGTTTGTTTTAGTAACTTATCCTAAGGTCTCCTTGCCAAGAGCTCCCCGACGACGACAGAGGAAGCAACCCACCTGCTGTGGCGGGGCGGCTTTTTTCTTTCACAATAAGACCTGGACGATTATCCCTACCCTCGGTAGCTTAAGGCATTCTTTGCGCCAGAAAGAGAGATTGTATTATAGCTTAACTTCTTAAACAAAGCCGGCTCTAGTTCTATTCAGAATAGGGCAAGAAAGCGACTTGCCGCCTCAGTCACGAAGGAATACCAAAGAGCCTAAAGAGGGTGTTAGAATGCAACTAGATAGAGAACTATAAGATAAGAGGGATTCCATGGGTGAGAAGGCTGACATGAAGGCTCTCATTCCAAACCGGTAAAGCGCAAGTGGCAAGCAGTTGAATCTTTCACTCGGACTCACTAGCAACTCCAGGACCGACCCCTCATCATCTTACGATGAAAAGTAGGTTTATTCCGTGGTAAACCACAACGAGTAAGCGAGATAGGGTGAGGTAAAGCCTCAGACCGGTCAAAGGAGCCTCCATAAAACCTCATCAGACAGGTAGCGGAAGCTGATAGAAAGGGGCGATGAGCTCAGTAGAGGAGAAGCCGTCCTGATGAAATAGAAAGCCCTAGCTATGAGTGACTCAAATCTAGCCGTGATGCGCGAGGGCCAATATTCAAATGAAAGCAAGGGGCTGATTGCCCTCATGGGGAAGGGATGAATACGAGCAGTCGGAAGAGCAGCTCTCTCAGAAGCAACCAATCCAAGAATTGATGGATTTGGTAGAGTGCCAGTCACAACACTAGAACCAAGTTAGGCGAGCTTGAAGGAATCGGTTGAAGCCCTTAGTTGCAAGGTCTTTGACTGTGCCCAAGAAAGGGATGGATAATAGATCTTAGATAGTTCCCACTTCCACTTAACAAAGGAAAAATATCACACACTACACAAGACAATCATGTGCAAGCTGCTTGAGTTGAATCAACCTCAATTCCTTTCTCACTCACGATGAAAGCTAAGAGCTTGCTCGAAGACAGCCTTTACTTTATAGTTGTAATCTATCCTATCCTATCCTTTAGGCGGGGATAGGTTCATAGGAGGACTTGGTTACATAGGAAGGAAAGGCTTAAACTAGAAGGGATAAGAAAGGGAATTGTGCAACACTCTTAGTAGAAGGCCGAGTTTGAAACTCCCTCTATCCGCGTACAGACAAGCAAGTTATTGAGGGCTCTTTATGCCAATACTTTGACACTACAGGGGAGAAAACCAGAAATCTCCTAAGCAATAAAGATCTTCCTATTGATACTAGCATTAGTGCGACTGGCTCCCGGGAAAGGAATTACACTAGATCTTGGCAATGGCACTCCAACAAGCTCGGCAGGGAGAGAAAGAAGAGAAGGAGAAGAGGAAGTACGACGAAAAGGGTATGAAATAGGTTGCTTGTAGCGATTTCGATTGCTTATTCGGTTGGGATTACCAGCCGACTTGCCTGACCAAAGAATAAGATAAAAAGAAGAGTTCCCGCCTACGACTACATGCCCATTCAGAGCTATACCTGGAGTCGAGCTAACTGCATAAGAAAAGGGGAACTTTCCTAAAAAGCCTAATAGCAATTAACCGCATTGGAAACGACGAATCACACTCTGAAAGGAGGCACCCTCCCTTATTACGTTACGGTCGAACCTCGCCTTTCTTCCTTCCTCTCCCGTTGGTCGAGCGTCTTCAAACCTTCACTCCAATACTTTCGAACAACTCTCGTACCCTTCGCTCATAAGCTAACTAAGAGCATGCCTTCGATCCGGCGTGAACTCTTTGCATTGCCTTTAGAGTAGATGTAGTAGATTGAGATCTCTCGACAACCGTAAGAGGTTAAGGTTCCAACCTGGGATTGTAGTTCAATCGGTCAGAGCACCGCCCTGTTAAGGCGGAAGTTGCGGGTTCGAGCCCCGTCAGTCCCGACGCCGGATTCAAAAAAGACATCAATTCCTCTCTCCATTTTCTGTGGACAAAGAGTAGGATCTAATTTCCCAGCAGGAGGATCCTTCTTTCGTTTCGCATTTCTCATCGGACAAATAAAGTAAAGGAATCCAAATGACAATAACTAGTAACAGGGATAGACATATGTAGATTGGTACAATCGGGGGTATCACCATATTCAGGATTCAAAGAGATACCGTACTGGTCAAGCTTTTTTCGATTGTTCCTCCTGGTCCATCGAATAGAAAATTTTGTGGTATATCGTATAAAACTAATAATAAAGTAAGTTTAGTAACATAGACACAAAACAGGAACAAGTTATTGAACTGAACTTCTCTGTAAATTACACATCAATATGTAAATAATGTTTATTTTTTTTTGTTTAGGTACCCATTATGGTGATAGTATGAAAAACAGATAAATAAAATGGATCTCAGCCGGCAAAGCAAGCATTTCTGTGAGAAGGTAATAAACTATTTCTTGGTATTTTATCACAGAAACACAAAAATCATAGGAAGGTAGTTAGAAAAATGAACAAAAATCATACAGTGTTTTCAAACATTAAAATACAGATGGTTCAAAGGTGGTAAACTTGCAGAAAATGTCAAAGTTTTGGATATCAGGAATTAAAGACATGTAATTTAATGATAAATAAAAAAACAGAAAAAAGGTGTTGCAATCGAAATAAAGCTCTAACCTTTTGTTCTTTTCATCCATTATTCTTAGTGTGAATGGCTGATGAAACTTATGATCAATTAGAATGAAGCTGTCCAGGAAGGTTTGAAGCAGAAGAGCGTTTGCTAATAAAACTAAGACGCAGATTCGTGGATGAATAATATATGTATATGCATTTATTTGAGCCTGATTTTTGGGATTGAAATTTCAAATTTCAAATAATATGCGTGTAAGTTTTGTATAGATTTTTAGTTTCCTTTTATATTAGAGATATATTTGGTATAATAGAAATTAATTCAATTTTTTTCCTTATTTTTAGGGATATGATTTAACTTGAAGATATTTCTACAGCATAGAGAGTTCAAAACCGGAAGCAAAATTAAAATTCCAATTATATTTGACTAAAGGTATTTTAGGAATATTTTAGGATAGAGATAATGAAAACTGAAATGCATCAAATTCGGCAACTGATTTGAAATTTAATTGCTGATATTTAGGGATACAAATGTTGATATTGATAACTAATAATGCTGAATTAAAGTAAATTCGTGGAATGGAGGTGTGACAAATTGAGCGGGAAAAAATAGAGTATATTGCTGGAGAGAGTGCCCAGTGGCAAAAAGGAGGTCTAAAAGAGGGACACATGGCGTTTAAGGGAGGTTATTATTAAGTATGGAGATATTTTCACCTTTACTAAAAAACAATGAATTTTCTACCATTAAACATAATATCTTAAACACTAACTTAATAAAAAATATCCGACCTAACTTATATTCATTTTCAATACAAAGTTAGAGATAGATTCTCATCATCGTGATTAAACTCTAATATGCCTCATGTAATTGAATGAAAAATGAACTTGGTTGTTAATAAGGTCTCCAACGAAACTGAAATTGTACAAATACTCGTATTTTTAATCTAAAACTATTAAATTAATATAATGTTCATTTATAGAAAATAAAAAATAATAATTTTTGATATATTTAGAAATTGTTTTTGAAAAAAATTAATATCCTAAAATGAATGACCGACATTCGATCTAGCTAGCATTCTCAACTTTTGTTTCTAATCTCGTTTGAATCTCTCTCTCTCCTCTCTCTCTCTCTCTCTCTAATATATATAATATATATATATAATATATATATATATATATATAATATATATAGAGAGAGAGAGAGAGAGAGAGAGAGAGGTTCATTTGAGACCAATACTATTTTGTGAGACAAGGGGACAACATTTCAACATTTGATGAAAACTGATCCTATGGTTCTTAAAAAACATGA